TTCTCACCCCTCTCTTCTGATTGCTACTGGTGTTGCACAGGGTTTTGGGTTTTTTTTTTTCCCTTTCTTAAGTGTGTTATCCCAGAGGCACTACCACCGGTCACTGACGGGCTCGGCCTTGGCCAGCAGCAGGTCCATCTTGGAGCCGGCTGGCATTGGCTCTATCTCAGACATGGGGGAAGCTTCTAGCAGCTTCCCACAGAAGCCACCCCTGTAGCCCCCCTGCTACCAAAAGCTTGCCACACAGACGCAATACAAAGGAGAAGTGGTGGCCTAGAGTGCACTTATGTTTTGTGATGACTGAGGTACAGATACCTTGAAGAATAATGAGTAATTAAGTCTCCTGTGGCCTGGGTTCAAGATCCTCATTTGCGATGAACTTACTGTGTGACCTTGGATATGTCACTTAAGTTCTCTGTGCCATTGTTTTCAATTAATGTAATGGGGGATTAAAAAATTTCCCTGTTTTGCTGTGTGTTTTGAGGATAAATGTGCCAGTAATTAAGAAGTGCTGATATTCCTTGGTGATGGAGGTCATAAGTACAAAGGATGCTATTGCTGCTGACAAAGCCCACTTAAATTAACTTCAGATTAACCTACTAATGTTATAAAAGAGTTTTATTTGCTTTGAGTGGTATTTTTAAAAGCTCTGAGTGAGTTGAGTAGTATAATTTTGTAGAATATTCTAAATTCTTATACTATAAATCTTATAGACAAGTGCTAATTAGAGCTCCATAATACCGTGTGTATCTCTGAGTGGACAGAGATTTCCTTTCATTTTACTGCCTGCCCTAATATCTGGCGTGTCAGCCTTCTAGAATGTTTAATTGTGGAGAGCTTGATTTTGCTTGTAAAATCCAAGCTAAATACGGGGATATCTTTTTCATAGTGTTGAAATACCGTCATTCAAGAAATAGTGACATTTTCATGTTTTTACCCAAAATGTTTTCTGTAGAATGACCAAAAGTATCAGGGAAATTACTCTAGCTTTATTTCTTTACTAGATTTCTCAACTCAAAATATTTTTCTGATTGTTTTCAGGAGTAAAAGTTCCTCGTAATTTTCGTCTGTTGGAAGAACTTGAAGAAGGTCAGAAAGGAGTAGGTGATGGAACAGTTAGCTGGGGCCTTGAAGATGATGAAGATATGACACTTACAAGATGGACAGGAATGATTATTGGGCCTCCAAGAGTAAGTATACACTTAAATATTAAAATACTACTGTTACTTTTTTTTTTGTTCTTCCCCCTTTTCTTCTCTTAATCTAATTACTGAAGTAGAAAACAAAATGCAAACAAGTGAAAAAACACTTTAGCAAGTGATTTATGTTGAAGGTTCAAGTTCCGTATAATAATGGGTTTCACGTATCTATGTCTTTTTGCTTGTAATTTGGAATGTTTTTAGTGTCTTTGGTTAGTCCTGTTACATGTCTGCTTTATATTTACAGATTCATTAAGACATAACTTTTGAGATTCCAGGATTCTAGTATCCTGTACTCTTGAATACAGCAAGGTTTAAAATCCTTCGGCTAGTGAGATTACATATGGAGCTAATGTAGGTAAAATGTGGATGTTTTGTTCAGTACTGCTAGTCTTTCTGCTGTTTCTTGTTGAGTTTATGGGTGGTTTTTTATTGCAGCAGTACTGACTTGCTCTTGTAGAGTTTCAGCTAACTCAGGAAACTCAAATTTTAATGGATTAAGTTTCTTCTCTGAATGTTCTCTCCCGAAGTACCTTCTTACAATGCTACTGGTCTTTGTGGTAGTATTGTTGCATTCTCTCTCTTCTCCCCCCAACCCTGCTAAACTGTGGGCCTCCACTCTGGTAGTGAACTTGAGGACTTAATTGTGCCTTGTACGTATGCATGCATTCTAAAACCAAAACATCTCTGTTGTCTCCAGTTTCAGTGTGTATCTCTGTTCTGTTTCCTTAATATCCTTACCATGAAGTGCAAGTAGCTGATTCTCCTTCCTGCAATAGTAGATGTTGTCTTCTATATCTGGCCTCAGTATCACTTCTCAGTAATTCCAGTGTTCTCAATCTATTATATGGAAACTTTTGCAGACCTTTAATCGTGCTACTGCCCTACGTGTTTCCATTCTATCAGTTGCCTTTTCTGACATACGATGAGGTCGTGCGAGAATTTATGTTATAATGGCATTAGAGGTGCAGTATTTTCTCTCTCATCCAGAAGTGTTGTTCGCTTTTTGTCTGCCATTAACATCTCCCCATTCATGATCATTTTGTTTGCTTATGATATGCCCAAATAATTTTCTAGAACAGCATTTGATTTTAGAACATTAGGAGAGTGTTAATGAGCCTGCATTAAGACTGTGAAGAAAGCTCGCTGTGTGCATACACTTCATGGAAAATTTAAGCAACCTTGAAATCTAATTTAGAAAATTAAATAGAAACTGAAATGTGCAAACAGGCATGTGCTGAGTTGTCAGCAGTGATAGAAATCTGTAGTTCATATCATACTGCTAACCAAGGCTAGAGGACTGTCACAGAAGATGATTCAGCTGTGCTTCTTTTGTCTTTCTGACACACTTGTGAATATAGTTTTTTTTTTTCCAAAAGTGTCTTGACTTCTTTTGAGCTTATTGAGGCTGTACTGAGAGACATTCTGGGAACTTGAGTCATTCTTGTTTGCTGAGTGGCTCTCCTGCTTTTAGCACTGTTCCTGCTGTTATATTATTATAATTTTTTTTCTTAATAGGGTGTGGGAATACTGGCTCGAGGAAAAAATTTTTAAATCCTATTTCCTTCCAGGTAGAAAGCAGTCACGCTTGTAGCAGGTGGAAGAATCTTATGTTGGGCATCCCAGAGGGAAAAATGAACCGCGGGTCAGAGTTAGATACGTGCGGCTGCTGAGTGTCCTCGCTACCATACATGGAAGCATACTTCTCCTTCCCAGACTTTGTGCGGATGGTTTCGCAGCCAGTGATTCATCTTGTTTATACAAGCTATTTAAAAACAGTGGCACTGTCAAAACTTCAGCTGTAGCTGTGCATATTTTATGTTGGCTATAGACATGTGCACCGTCAAGGCTTTCCATTCACTTAATGTGGTGCGGTTATTTGCAAAGACCCTAAACACCTGCGCAAACCTCTGGGCTGTTGATTGCTCTGTGCACAAGCTATGCTCAGGGACTCGGTCAGAAGACCTGGGCAGTCCGAGCAGAGCTGACAGATGACTTTTTTCCCCCAAAACTTTGTGACGGCATTCAGTTTGTCACCACCCTGGCTGGACACGTGCAAGGCTGTCTGGCCGAGGTGCCGGAGGAGTGACCAAGAGCTGCCACTGCCAGCCAGCGCTGGCCCGGTGCTGGTCCCACCACAGGTGGCTGCAGGCTGGTTTAAAGCCACTTCATTTGCACAGATGAGAGGCGGCTGAATCAGGAAGTCAGTTCTTGTATTTTTGGTAGTGGTTTGCATCAAAAAGCTCATTAATATTAGGGGAAATGTTAAGATGTTCAGGGGCATAACAGGCCCTTGAAAGGGATTGCATGGAGTTTTTTATTGAGAAGTTTTTGTATGCGGGGCAGCGGTTCCTAAGCTCCTGGTGGAGCCATGGTGCTCTGCTGCCACAGGTGAGCCGGAACTGCTGGCTGCATCTGGGCTTCTGCGCTCACACGTTCGCTTGGATCTTTGCTCATGGTCGCTGCCTTGTGAGTTTAATGTTCATTGCAATGTTGAAGGTGCAGGAAATTGTGTCAGAAGCTCTAAATCTGGAGAGCTTGTCTGCCTAAACTTCCCCATGATGATCCTGTTCCTGTCGTGTACTTCTGCTGGCTGCCTGCGTTGCCCAGCTTAGCTAGAGCTCTGTGCCGGGCTGCACCAGATCAGCACATCAAAACCAGTCATTCTCGGAATGCAGAATAACATTAACTGTTGTTTCTTTTAATTAATTTTAAATATTGAAGAATCAGTGTTGCCTTGTTACACTTGTCTCTTTTCTATACCCGTTGATTGGTTAGTTAAAAATTCATAATCCAGGATTTCTCTCTATTAGCTGTTAAGTACAACAGAGTGTTAACTGCGGTGAAGACAAAGTGATAACGCTGTTTGGATCAGGATGTACTTTGCAATGTGTTGAATCTTGGAGCATTCCCCTTTCTGAGAACTGGCACATTGGTTTATGACCAAAGAATATTTTTCAAGTGCAGTTGTAGGATAGGCTGACTTCAGCTGGTTGCCTAAGCTAAAGCTGTGGCTTCAATTTCAAAGTAGTGTGTCTGATTAGTAAACTGATAAAACAAAGCTGCTTTATAAAGATTGGTTGAAAAGTAGGTATCTGAGCTATATGATGATTAAAAAAATTATTTCACGTGGTGAATGGGAAGCAAATGCCATTTTCATTCCTGATATGAAAATTTGATGCTTAAAGGACTAGTAGAATTTATTACCCTGAAGAGGTAACATTTCATACTCTGAATATTATAAAATGAACCCAAAACAGAGGTAGCCAGCATAGTATGTAAGCGGCTGCCCTTACATTTAGTAGTTCACATGTCCCTAAAGTAACCACTGTTTTAACCAAATGCTTATTGAACTGCCTAATGTAATTGTTCCCCCCCTTTCTTTTCCCCTCAGACAATTTATGAAAACAGAATATACAGCCTTAAAATAGAATGTGGGCCTAAGTATCCAGAAGCACCTCCATTTGTAAGATTTGTAACAAAAATTAATATGAATGGAGTAAATAGTTCTAATGGAGTGGTAAGTTTTGGATTTTTATTCATTTTAATGTGATTTTCATGTGCAGCTTCAAATTAATGCTTTGTTTATACTTGCAGCTTGCTTAACTACTTATTGCTTGTTGGTGCCATTTTCTTTGAGTAGAAGGAAAGGGGGGTAGAAGGAAAGTGTACAAGCCAAGTATGTTCTGAAATCAAAACATGGGATTTGCATTTCCTGCCCTTCTGCAACTCACAAATAGTTGCATCATGTGGGGATTTATTACGCTTGTAGGAAACCGCTTGCTTGCTTTTGCTTTCTTTGCTTGCTTTTGCTTTCTTTGGTTCGTCCCACTCAGATTCCTTACAGGATCTTTAGTTGGAGGGTGTGGGGGGGAGTTAAGTGTGTCAAACGTATCGATTCTGACAGGAATGGTGTTTTTGTCTATTTTAGGTGGACCCCAGAGCCATATCAGTCCTAGCAAAATGGCAGAATTCTTATAGTATCAAAGTTGTTCTGCAAGAGCTTCGGCGTCTAATGATGTCTAAAGAAAATATGAAACTTCCTCAGCCACCTGAAGGACAATGTTACAGCAATTAATTAAAAAAAAAAAACAAACATGCCCCCCTTATTCAATTTAAGCTGTCTTCATTTTCCACAGTAGTAAATTTTCTAGATGCATCTTGTAGACCTCAAAATACTGGAAAGGAAGTTCCCATTCAAAGGAAGTTTTTCTTGAGATACTGTAAATGATACTAATTTTTTTTTTTTTCATTTGAAATAAGTTGTGCTATAACAAATAATCCTGTTGTGTAACCACTGTCCACATAGCTGAACTTCTGGTATCAGGAAAAGTCTATTTAAATTTATTACTGTCAAGACCAGTGTGGCACATCTAACTTAACTGTGAAAGCATACATCCCACAATCACTTTGCTGTGTGTCTGGCCTGGTTTTTTTTTTTTTATTTCTTTTTCTGTCTTTTGCAATAGAGTCGAAGCTCAGGGCTATTTATTAGAGTAGACACAAAGGTTTTTGCTTCCAGTACTACACTGGGCTTTATGGACTACTAATGGGGATGTGTGCTAACCTCAGTCATCCCTCCCTTTGTGCTATCTCTAGTAAAGGCTGAATGTGACTGTGGTCGTTTTGGGGTTTTTATTATTTTTTTTTTAAATGCCCTGATAATCTGGGGCAAGCTTTCCTTCTTCCCTTTGGCCAAGGCATAGATTGTATTTCTCTTCCTGGTCCGCCTCACCAGTGACATGGGCTTTGGGTGAGGGATTCAGGGTTCTTTTAATCTCTTCCTTCTTCCCCTCTTTTTAGCGGGGGTGCTGCTTTCTTTTTGCCCCTCTCTGTGACTCTTCTCACCCCTGGCCAGCAGGGGTAAGCGTTGGGGCAATAACTTGACCTGTTCCCTCCTGCTTGTCATTTTGGTTTTGCAACAAATTTAGTCTTCACCAGCCTGGGAAACAAGAGTATCTGTTCTGCTCGCAAACTTGGATTTTCCCTGTCCCTCCAGCACTGCTGCCACACCGCCAAGCTGGCCACGGCTGATGTTATTAGATAGGCTTTTGACGTGGTGAAAAGAGCAGTAATTTACCAGGATTGCCGAAATCTTCTGCTGCCAAACTTTAACAGGGAAACTTTGCACATAGAGATTCTGAACACACGCTCCAGCTCAAATAGTTGTATTTTGGTGCTTTGGATTGACCCAAGAATGTTAATTAATGAAATGTTGCACTTATGTTTGGCCCTTCTAAAGATGTGACGACTACAGACAAATCAAACCAGTGTAGTAGATTTTATTAGGATTCTGTAAGTCTTAGAAGAGAAATCTCTTCAGTGAAGATTTTGGGGAAGCGGTGCATACAGCAGATTAAGGACCTTTATTGGCTTTGCATCCTGGCAAATCACTGCCTTTTCTGGTTTACTGTTTCGGACCACTAACTGCTGAAATGTGGATGCAAGCTTACATATGACCAACCTAGTGTGTCCTAAGTTTTATGAAAAACTCAGTGTTTGTGTAAAAAAAGAAAAAAAAAAGGGAAAAAAAAAGAAAAAAGTAAAAATAAACACATTTTAAAGCAGCAGCTATCAAGTCAATGAACGATTGATGTTTCCATTAACTCTTTTGAGGAAAATATTAGTTGTAAGGATTTAACATCCTCTGTAATTAAAGTTTAACATAACAGTATTCCATAAGCAGCCTTTTTATTGTATCAGACCATTGCCTGATTTTAATATAATAAAAAGTGTGCATTAATATTAGAAGGCTTTAATTGTATTTATGTTTAGAATTTTGATCCCTTATGGAATTCTTGATTTGTTGGAAGTATCTTCCTACAGATCACGTTTAGCTAACAGTACGTAAACTGGTTTTGCGAAAGGCAATTGTCTTTATCCAGCTGCTGCTGCTGTGCCAAGGAGAATCTTTAGTTTTAGGTTAAACCTCAGACTCCCGTAGACCTGGCAGTTGGTAACGTTACGTGATGCTAAGGAACTGCTGAAATGGATTTCTAGATACGTGTGCTGCCTGAAGGTGCTCTGTCATTGCAATGAGCTTTATGTGTTGTAGTCCTGAGGAAATCGAATCCCTGTACAGTTGCATGTTACGCTGTCTGTCAAGTTCAAGGAGAAGTTCACAACTTGAAATTTTACCCATTTTCCCTCAAATAGTGAAGTGTAAAAAGATGACCTTCTCTGCAAATCTGGATAAAAACGGGGCTGTGAAATTTTGGTCTTTTCCAAGCGTAAAGCATCTCCGCTTCAGAGGATTGCCGGAAGGTACTCGCTGTGCGTGCACTTCAGCGTTGTGGTGAAACAAGGTTCTTCCGGGGTTAGGAATGAAAAAGGGAATGACCTTTTGTGAAACTTTGTGAAACTTGCTGCTGGCTTCCGGCCTGGAATACTACTCAGTCCTTTGGTAGCTCGGAGGCTATCTACGAAGACAATGCGACTAATACTTTGTCAGCATCATGTGTGTGTTTATTTAAAATAGCTTGGTATCTAAAGATGTTAAATGGGAATCGGAACAATGCTTGATAATTATAGCGTGCTGCTTGATTATCTCTGTTTTTCAGAGCTGTTGTAAGAGTGCCCTTGCCCTGTTCAGGAGGATATGGTTGGTGCATGTTTGGGGCCTCCCCCAAACTTTGTACTTCAAGTAACGATTTGAAAACCTTGAAACTGTCTGTTTTGCATTCCACCCTGACCTGGGCCGTGCTCCGCCGGGAGCTGCGCTGGCAAGAGTCATGTGTTAACAACATTTGCCATACAAAGTTGGGTGGTGCTTTAAAGAAAAAAAAAAGGGGTTCGCTGTAAATTTTTTCACCCAGGAGTTGCACTCTTTGAACATGGCAGTGCTCCAATGCACTGCTGTTCCACTCGCAACCAAGTAGGAGTGGTATGGAAAAATAACACCCAAGAGTCAGCTGCCTTTGAATCTACGTGTTGTAGCTTTGTCAGTGTACGTGACCTACAAACTACGTAGTGGAAGAGACCGGTCACCCAGAGCCTGGTTGCTTGGTTATGCTTCAGAAATGAGGTGGGGAAACAAAACCGTGTCTTGCCTGTATTTATCCTAACCCTGGCAGTGTGAAGGCAAAGTGTTTAGTTGATCCCTGCTGACCCTCAGTTTATGTCCTGAACCAGTGCCTCTTAAGAGAAAGATATGAAGGGATAATAAATAAAATAAGCGGATTGGCTGTAAAATACATGCTGTTCCTTGGAGCAGGTGCTGCTGGAGGTGGCTGAAGCAGCGCTCAGGGAGGAGACTGGTTTGAGCAGGAGATCTCCATGCGGCTGCCCCTTACCGCTTCCTGCGGGGTCGTGTGAGCCACCCTCGTACCAAATGGACTGGACACTTACAGTAAAAACCTCGCCTGCCAGTGCTTTCCATGGATGTGGAGCGAGCTTTTGACTCGGCTCGTAATACGAAGACGGTAGAGGGAGCTAGCAAGCTTTACAAGGCTTGGGTCTGAGTAAGGTGCAAATGCTGCTCAACTTAAATGTTAAGTCCTCTTGTGGGAACCACTTTTCATATTTATCCTGAATCAATTTCAATTTTAAAAGCCTGTTTATCATGACTTTCTCACTGTACAGGCATTAACTTGCTAGGGGGAAAACCAGCACTGCAGTGAGATTTTAATTGTTAATAAAGACTGATTGTTGTTTGCTTCTTGCTTTGTTGTAATTTAGCTCTGTGTGCGTATGTAGGGAGTATATGCTTAAGTGTGCCTTTTCTGTACTCTTGCAACTTCTTGCAGTGCTTTGGATTTAAAATTTCAGTTTCTTCCACTGTCATTAGAGTAATAATTTTTAAGCCAAAAAGCGTCATCAGCCGCTCTATGAGACGCCAGCGCTGTCTGTGGTTCACCCCAGAGTCGTACAAGGACGCGAGCGGGAAAAGCAGCCGGTGAGTGTGGCCGTGCCCATCGGTCTTGGGCAAACAGCCTGACCGAGGGACGGGCTGCTCCGAATGCTTTAGCTTAGCGCTGCTTCAGAGCCGTGCTACCGGAGCTCCCTGCGGCACTGCCAGGCAGGCGGGGTGTAGGGGGACAGTGTTAAGTTATGCTGGTTTTAACAAGGCAGACAAACCCAGCAGAGATACGCAGCGAGCCCTGCGCTTACTCCTTTGCCAAATACCAGCCTTTGTAGTGTCTTGCCAGAATTGTGGGAGCTGTTTGTGGCTTACCTTGCTGTTTGTGGGAATTGGCCGCTAGGCATCTGAGGTCGGTACTTTACCTACAGGACAGTGTCTCCTACATCAAGAAACAGCACAGTGAATTCAGTATTTTTTTCAAGCTGGCACTGGCTTACACTGAAACAAGGGAGTTCCAGTTCTGCACGTACCTGTAAATATGTGTCTGCTTCAAGCTCTACCTACCTTGAGCTGAAAGAAGGTGAAGAGAATTTGATAGTGATGTTCTTAATATCTAATTTTTTTTACATATAACTTTGTATTAAGAAGCTTTTTCTGATGGTTTAGAGTTTTCCAAAGTCAGTGGAAATTGCCATGTTGCATCAATCTTTGGCTAAGGTGCTTTCCAAAAGCATGCTAACGTTGCTGTTGACTAAGGTTCAGCTTCTCGTTTTCTCTGGTCTTGCTGTAGCAGATTGAATGTGCTTAACTTTTAAGCCTGTGAAGAGCCCCGGTGAAGTCACATTTAAGTTTGGCGCATGCTTAAGTGCTTTGTTGGACCAGAGCCAGCACGCTCAGCCTCTGCTAGAAAAGATTTTTTTTTTAGGCTTTATTGAGCATCTTCTTCCTAGTCCTCCCTTCTTGGTGCTACGCCCTTGGTGCTCGTGCCTTTACATTCCCCCCCCCCTCCCCCCGCAATGTCTCCCACATTTGTTGTAACAAAAAAGCAAAGAGCAGAAGACGACGTGGAAGATAAGGAGATAAGCTAGATTCTCATCATTTTATATCTGTCAAGCATCTTGTCACCTTTTTCATCCTTATCTGCTTTTAAATAAAGCCTACAAAGGGTTTTCAGAAATGTGGGTCCTGTCCTAATTTTCTGCCTCTCGAGCCAGGTTGTTGGTGGCTTTGCCCTGACGTATAGAAAACCCTGTGGTACCTTGATAGGTAATAGGAGGGGAGGATGGTCTGTCTAAAAGTCCCTTTCCCCTCTCCGTTGCTCAACATTTATTCTTTTATGTTGTATTATTTCATTAGGTCTCCACTCACCAAAGAATGTTTCAGGATAGCCAATGCTGAAGTTTCTTTTGGAAGAAAAACAAGCAGGAGTTTTGGAAAGAAAAGGGAAGCAAACTTTGGAGCCATCTTCATCAGAAATGATGAGTCTGTTTTCCCTTCTGCTCGCTCTTTTTATAGAGCTGCTTTAAAACCACGTGTTCATAACTGGCCGGATAGCAGTCTCCAGGTTTATGGAGAACAGGATTTTTGTTTGCCTTATGGAGGCTTTCTGGGGCAGATCTGTGCTGACTTGTGGGTCGCGAGCGCGGGAAGAGGGAGCAGGGAGCGGAGGGAGCAGGGAGCGGAGGGAAGGCTGGAGGGCTGGCGGCGCCGACCCGCGCACGCAGCCTGGGGCAG